AGACTTCTTCGCACATTCCAACAGTCTTAACTCCAAAGCAATCCTATTCCGTTTTTCGATGAGTCCAGTTCACGAAATTTTCCTAACCATCTTCTTCGTCCAAATCAAGAGTTATGGCACAATAAATTACTAAGGAATCTCTTGAAACCAAGTTTTTATTGATATACCTGACAAAGCTTATTTCTAAGAATTATTGATAGTTTAAAAGCGTACAAATGCTGAATAGCAATAGCATAGTTGAATGTAGTAGCAAATACAAGTTTTCGATAGGTCTAGCTTTTGTTGAAAGTCACATCTGCCCTGTGACCCACAGTCACATATGGCTGTATAGCGAAGTGTTTGTGTGTCACCACGAGGGACAAAACACGGTTAATAACCCTGTTGGTAGTGTTTGCTGAGACGAAGAGATAAGGTTGCCAATGTAATCCAGCTTGTGGGATTAAAAATTTTGTATCGACCTTTTGGTATCGACATTTTGGCACCTGGGCTAATTGGGATTCACTGACATCATAAGTCCTACTGATGTGATTGTGTGAGCTTCTTCTATATCAGTATTCAACTTTCCTTCAACAATCTCCTTATTAAACCGGATGGGTAGAGAAGAGTCTTTCCGACCAAGTTTGACGAATGCAATATGTTTGTTGAGTGCAAAGCATGGCTATAAAAGGGCATTCGCACCGAGTTTAAAATGATAAACACACAGTTCAAAATAGCCTGATTGGCCACGCTAAGGTTTCGATACGCCACTCGTAAATATTCTCAGCCACATGATGCCAATTTGACATTGAGTTGGAGGCATTTGTGCTGACAGAAGGTATATGTTGTGATATAGGTTTCGACACAGTCGGTAGATCATAATTATATGATGCATTTAGTCTATTTAATCTAAGGTTATGAAGGACTGGTATCTGAATTTAGCCTCAATCAGCTGAATAGACATCGTGCCTCCACTGAATTTTTCATAGCCTTGCTTCCAAAAAGGTATTCTCATCCAGGCACGAAGGAACTGCAGTTTCGACCTCGCCTGAACTGGTCTCAAAAGCCTTCCCAATGCGAATGGAATCAGAATTTCGGAAGTGCAACGTATATTCGCGCCACGTTAAGCACAATACCACGAGGGTTCTTCGATTAAGGGCAGATGGTAATTTCAAGGAAGGCCAGGCCTTTCCCATACCATATTGCTGTGGTGGGATTTTCGACTAAGAAAAGCTGTATTTGCTATTAAAAAAATATGCATCACCAATTTTTTCTTTTATAAGTTTATTCATATATCAATACATATGATCTCATCGAAACCTCAAAACCTATTCAATAAACGAAAATAGGTAATTTATTTAATTGTACTAGCAAATACAACCTAGCTTCGTCGAAAATCCCACCATAGAAATGTGATATGAAAAAGGCTTGGACTTCTTGAGATTACTGTCCGCCCTTTGACTCAAGGGAACTCGTGGTGATGTGTTTAACGTGTCGCGAGTATGCGTTGCACTTCCAAAATCGGGATTTGATTCCCACTGGGGGCTGATGTGACCAGTACAGGCGATGTCGAAACTGCAGTTTACTCCTGAGTTGAAGAGGATATGTTTTGGGAAGCAAGACTACATGAAATTCACTGGAAAAACGAGTTCTACTTATAGCATTGCAAAAAAATTCAATTACAAATCCTTTATCACTTGAAACGAAATAGGCTGAATACACTCCATATAGAAGGCATATGAATCGGATCGCCTTTTTCAACCGAGTTCGCCAGCAAAGTGTTGAACGGGGTAGAGTTCTTGTGGAATTCTTTGCGAACTGCCGTTCGCCTGTTTTGGTATTGTTTAAGTTTTCTGGGACATTTTTTTATCCTCTTTATCTATCACTATTCACATGTCAGGAAGTTCGACAAATGTGAAGAGTCTGTTATCCATGCAGCACTAACGATGCATAATCTAGCCATGTCGTCATCATGTTGTACTTCTTAATTTGCAGGTGGAATGGTAGCTAGGAGCACTTTGGCAGGAATTGACTATCGGCAACTCAAAAAATGAGGTAAAAGACCTCAGGACAACTTTTAGGAACTGCCAGGGCATTCAATGTTATCAGCACATTTTTTTCCTGGTAGAGGCTTGTGATGTCTCGATATGAAATGACTCTTTGTTCGTCAATCTACACTAGAAAAGCTGGCTGTTCGGAGTTTACTGAACTTTTAGTTGGTTTCTTAATGAAATTAATGCCATTGACTAAGAGGTACTAAAGAGTTATTTTAATTTTGTCATCGAAGATCCCTTTACAATTTTTCCCAAATGGGACAGGAATAAAGATTTGTCCTTGCAACATCAGAAATGTCAGACAGCTTAGAACTATAGCTTTTTATAAAACTTATGTTAGCTTGTTTTCACAACTTGGTCATATTGAAAGGAAGACGTGGAGAAACAGACCTTGTCCGAAGTCCAGAGTTTGCATGATAATTTCCAGTGTCGGACCATGAACTTGTCACATCCACATACGTTTCGCCGGCATTGTCAGTGAGTCTTGCCAGTCTTAGCACCACACTACAACTAATCAAAGAGACAAATCTTGTCTTGGAAATGTAACATATACTCGCGAAACGTTAACCACACCACCACAAGTGACCTTAAGTTAAAGGACAGACAGCAATTTCACGAAAGTCCAGGCCTAAACCATATCACATTTCTGTAGTCTTGTCTCGTTTCTGAGTCGTGCTAAGCATGGCAATGTTCACTGACAATGCCGGCGAAATGACTTGGAATATACCAAGTCCACGCTCCTACTTTGGAAATGAGCAGGTATACTATGGACTCCGGGCAAGGTGGGTTCCTCTACTCCTTTATGCCAATATAAACAAGTTGTGAAAACAAGGTCAAACAACTAGTATACAAAGAAAAGAGATCGCAACCATACAAATGGTCTCACCATCATTGTTAGCATATATTCGATTATAGATTTTTATGTTAAGAAGTAGAAATAGTTTCGCATCTAAATGAGTTAACACTAGCACCATTTGAAAATTGTACGGTAAATGCATTCTTGACCGGCTTCAGCACAATCCGAAATAAATTATTTTTTGAAGTGGGTTGACCTCATTGTCGCAACTTGGTCTTGTCATCAGGACGACTTAGTAGAACACACTTATGCGAAAAAAAGTTGGGTTTCGAGGAATCTCTTGTTTCATAATTGCTGAGCTTGCTTCCATTTCGAGTAAAAGTGTTTGGTGAAGAGATTCTAAGGTCGGTTCCACCAGAAAACGACGGCGGATTCCTCTTGACCAGTTGTCGATTGGCTCCACTAGAACATTCATGGTGGCGCTGTTTCCGATGTAAGCTCCTTCATTTCTGGTGAAAAGGCGCTAAGCATTCGTCCGTCATATCATCAGAGTGAGGTAACATCGTCAACACAAAATTCAAGCTAAAGAGTCAAGAAAACTCGTTTTCTTCCAGTAAAGCCAATCGAAAGCTGGTCAAGAGGAATCCGCTTTCGTCTTCTGGTGGAACCGACCTTTACCCAACACTTTCACTCGAAATGGAAGTAAGCCCAACAAGAACGCACATAGTCCGAAGTCCTCTGTCATAGTAGTTATCATAATTCCCAGCATCAGACAGTGGACTTGGTACATTCTCAAACCGGGTATGTAGTCCATACAGGAGGCCACCCCATTTTGGTCTTCATATCTTCGATTAAATTATTTTTTGGCTTTTGGGCAAAATTAAGTAGTTATCATGTCTTGGTGCTTCTTAAACGTATACTCAGAAGACTGCAATATTCTGAAGCTGTGCCTTAATGGCAGTATTCATTTTATAAGAATTTTATCATGGAGGGGGTCTCGAAGAATAGGACGATCACGACAATAAAGCCCATTTGATGAAGCATCATATTTCTACAGTTTTCGGAGAGACCGAAGACGTCTAACAGACATTCCCAAATGAAACAAGAGGTAAGTATTAAGCATAAGGGCTTATATGAAATCTTGTTTATCCATCACCATGCTTCCTTTTTATGTGGTAGTTAACAGAGCCCTAAATATTGTTGATGAATATCTGTTTTAATTGGATTTTAATGAACTGACAGCAAGACAGTATATGGTGGCTTCAGGAAAGGAATTAATTTTCACATTAAATTTCACTCCTTGCATCCTTAAAGGCTTGGCCGCAATTTTGACCTTCTTTGTTTTATCAGCACTCTCAGGGGGATTCGAATCGTAGGTCTACCTCCTCTAAGCCAGACAACCCAAAAGCTGGTTTAGTTACACAGTCAGCAAGACGTTCAGGCGAAGAAAATATGGTTCAAATAGCATATTTACACGCAAAATGTTGTATCGACAGGAAATAGTAGATTTACAAAAAACTCAATGCACTACTGAATTTGTAATCGGTAATAACTTAACCCAGCTTACTGTTAATACAAAATTCCTTGTCAACATCGATGGCAGGGAGAGGCTTGTATTATCATAAAAATCTTGCCTTTTATGTAACTAAAAGAGGCCAGGATCGTTTGGCTGTAAAGTTATGACATTTGCCTTCTGACACGTATGCTCATAATTGTCGACTGACTCACATTTCTGAGCAGACGATTTGGCCAGGTCAACACTTCAGTTCAGTCTTGAGAGGAATAGCCTCTGGATGCATAAATCCGTCATTCACTTTAATTTATCGTGAACAAACTCCATATCAGTTTGATGCTAAATCTATCGACATCACTATGCCTCGACAAAGTTAGTTGATGCCTTCAATCTTTCATATTGAAAATTCATGCTTACGAGTTGCCTTCTCTCTTCTTACCACAACTTTTCTCAAACCCTCAAATGGTACTCCTTTTAACAATCTACTGCACGGCTCAGTAAAAAGTCCGGGCGCTAAAGCGGCAAACCAGCCGATCGGATCATCCAACACCGAAAGTAAGCCGGCCCGATTGAACGCCGGCAGGAAAAGGGCAGCCCAACAGGCATCAGAGTCGGCTGGAGAACAGAACATAATGATGGATACCAGAAGTGTGTTCCTGCTGCGCTGCAAAATCGGTGATGAAATCTGGACTCCAGTGCCACAATACACGGCAAGTATAGCATTTTGGTCATGAAAAATTAGTTAAACTTGAGAAACGCTCAGACCCTCGAAATGGCAGTGCCCAAGACTGATTGTAATCACATTCTGTGCCAATTAAGTTTAGCATAGAAAGTTTTAGCCACGCACTCCAGAAAGTACGTTGTATCAACCAACTAGTGTCAGGGATTTCTGGATGCCCAGACTCCACATGAGGAAGTTGCAGAGCATATGACAAAAAGTGTACATCAAATGGAATGGTCCATGGTTCTTCTGTTCGCGAATTATGGTTTATCTGTTGCAAAACATAGAATTAGGGAGGCTATTAACTTGGAAAGATTAGGAAGCAAAAAAAATATCATGAATGAGGATAAGAAATTATACAAAAAATGATTATGCCTGATTAAAATAATCAAGGATTATATAGATATGGTCAAAATTAATCTAAAATGTTTTGGCTCATCTAATATATTTTAGAAGGGCATAATTTTCAGGACTATTAATAATTCTTATAGATACGAAGAGAAAATTGGTTTTGATGAATCTCCTGAGATAACATTGCTAGGGGGAGCTACATTTCGTATGAAATGGCATAAGGAAGAGATTCGTTGGTCGATCTCACCAGATGAGGACGGATGAATCTCGTTGTACTGCAGCCGGTTGGATTTTATACGATATTTATGTTGACGCAGTCCACAAGACTTCTTCCATCGTTTCGGGTGAAAACGTGCTGAGCTTTAGTCCATCATATGATGGGCATCCTCACAGCTGAGTGTCATTTTTGCAAAAGACTTTCGTTAACACTAGGCCAAGAAGACTACCCGGCTTTATCTTATCTCTTATATATAGGAAGTCCCGTGGACTGCGTCAACATAAATATCGTATAAAATCGAAACGGCTGCAGTACAACGAGATTCATCCTTCCTCATCTGGTGAGATCGACCAACGAATCTCTTCTTCAGGCACTTTCATACTAAATAAAGGTCCCCCTAATAATAATGCTTAGTGTTAATTATTAATCTAATAGGTCTGAATTTGGCTATAATTATTGTCACTCTATTGGGGAGAATTTCATTTTGTGTGAAAGCGCATGAGGAAGAGAATCCTAGGTCGATCTCACCAGAAGAAGACAGTTGTTTCTCGTTGCTCGGT